GGCTTGGAGCAACCTGGGCCAGTGGAAGTTGTCCCTGCCCATGGCAGGGGAGTGGAATGAAATGAGCTTTAAGGTCCTTTCCAGCCCAAACCATTCTATGATAATATATTTTTATTTTCTTGGGGTTTTTGGGGGGAGGAATAATAATAGAGTCTGTCTTCGAGGCTTAAACCCAGTCCTTGCCATTCCTTAGGGATCCTGTTTGTCCTTCCCACAGAATGAACGTGAATCCTCAGGTCTCCTTTCCCCTTTAAAAGAGTAAAACAGGCCAAGAAGGAGCTGGTTTATGTGGGGGGTTTTTTTTTAAGAGGAAAATAGTTGGCAGGAACATGAGCAAAGCTGAAAGTATTTTCAGCTGTTTTGTTTTGTAATGTTTAATGTTTTGTTTTCTACTTTACCAATTATACAAAGGAATCACTCAAAACAAAGGTCTCCCATTCTCAAAAAGGGAAAAAATATCTATAGTGGGACTAATGTGACTAATGAGAATTGGCCAAGTAAGGAAAATATCCAAAATATCTTGAAAAATGACATATCTATTTTTTCTTCAGAAAAAAAAATAGAAAAGTTCACTCTCTAATTGAGATTTGTTTGCAAAATAATTCCGGGCTGGGAAGAGTAATCAACTCATGCATAAAAACATTGTTTTGAGAATAATTTTTATTTTGTTACTGGTAGCTTGAATTTTAGAACTTACCTGTGATTTCCAAATGATTATTTCTACGTCCCAACTTTTAAATTTGTGGACCCTTGTTTTACGAAAAGCTACGGAGAGAATTGATCAAAAAAATACGGTTTAAAAATAATAAATCTTGGCAGTTTGAGGACAAAACAGCTGGGAAAGGATCCTCTTCCTGCTCCCTTTTTTTTTTTTTTTTTACAAGTATTTTTAAAAGATAACAGCTTAGAATTACTTATTTTTAGAAGGCTCTAGAAGGCTCAGCTGAGCCCCAGAGGCCACTGTGGCTCAGCGCTGTACAAGCAAATTATTTAGGCCAGTTTATCCCCGGCCAAAATAATTTACAATCCCAGTTTCCAGGCTGAGACAAGAGGGAGAGAGAGAAACCTCAGCCAGAGCTGCCAGCACCAATCCCAGCAGGAACAGCAAAACGCCCCGGTCAGCGCCGGCGCCGGCGGATTCAGCCCAGCTGATGAATATGATAATCCCCAATATGATAATTTTCGGTCATAAAAAGCACTTCAGGAATTTTTTATTTATTTATTTATTTTTTTTCTCCTCCAGATAAGAACAAATAATTTGTGGCATCGAGCTTGAAAAAAGTCCTGGGCGTTCCTTTGGCAGCGGGTGCCGGGTGAGGAGCCGGAGGCAGGCGTGGTGCTGCGTCTGGCAGCTCCCGGGCGCTCGTGGGTGCTGAGCTGGGGTGGGAGTGGGGACTGCAGGGATTCAGATGAATCACAGCACATTTCCCAATCTCTGCTGTGCTTATAGAAGCGCTCACTCCAGGCAGGGGCTGGCAGACACACACATTCAGTGGGATGTGCCCTTGTATCCGCAGGGTTTCCAAGTCGGGGCCAAGGCTCTGCACACACACGCGGCATCACCTCGTGTAGGTACAAGAGTGGGCACAGGGAGGAGGGATGGCCTTGGACAGGCCACAGCAGTGCTCTAAACAAGCTGCTTAGGAATGCCTAAACAAATTTTTTCCCCCTGTTTATTCATTTCCCAATTGGAAAATATTGCTTTGTTACATTAAGGTTGGTGAAACTTTTATAAGGGAGGTTTTCGTGTACCCGGGGCGGCAATCCAGGGAGCTGGGAGGTGACAGCAGGAGTGACAGCCAGGACTGTGGGACAGCCAAAAACTGTGCTACAGCATCAGCTGGGATACAGGCTCTGTAGGACTGTGTTCTGGAGAGACCAAACAGGGATGTGCAGGTGGATTTCTGTCAGCTCAGGTGAGCGCCCGGCAGCCCACAGGTACCAACTGCTCTGCAGTGCCTCTTCCTCATTTAATTAAAAATAAAAAAGCCAAACCCTGGATCTGTGTTTCAGCGTAAAGGCAAATGAACCTTAAAAAATGTAAATTGAAATCCTTTCCGATGAGCTGCAAGCAAAAATACTGTTGCCCCCAGCACATCCAAAGCCTCATCCCCACTCAGAGCAACCTGACAGGTGCCAGCCCTGGGGACGACACTGTCGCCAAACAGATCCTGCCTCTGTCATGGCTGTGTCCTGTCATTCATCAGGACTTTGATTTTTAAATAAAACATCCCAACAGGCTCAGCTGGACACCTCAAATGAAATTCATGCTTCTCCCCCTGCGCTTGCGGGAGTTGTTCCTCAGGTAAACCCAAGATATGGAAGGAGTGTTTGGTTACTGCCACAGGAACGAAAAGAAAACCCATAGCATTCACTCCTGGCTTCTGATTAAACAAAACAAAGTTGTTATAGCTGAAGCGATACGTTTTCTGGCTAAATATTTAAATTGGTAATTAACATACTTCCTTTAGGGTGGGAAAATAGTTGTTTGCCATAGTTTCGTGGACTCGATGGGAGAAATAAACCGCCGGAGTTTGCAAAACAGAGGCTTAAATGTGTTTATTTCGTACTAAACATTTTGTAACTCTGCCTGTGAGGAGCAGCGAGCGGGAATGCTGTCCAGGAGGAAATAAAAGCAGCAGGGATTTATGGCACGGCCCCGCTCCGGGGGGTTTAACCACGCCAGCAGCCCTGGCACGGGACAGGCTCCCCGGCGGCTCAGGGAGCCGGGAGGGTGGTGAGGTTTAAACCTTTAAAACAGCAAAGCACACGGTACCCGAAACCCAGCTTTCCAGAGGTTTATTTATCTGGGGGGAGCAGATTTGCAGGCCGGGCGCTGAGTTAAGCCTGTGCTGATCAGCTGGAGCCGAGGGCCGGGGCACTGCCGTCATTCCCGTGCTCCCTCCCAGGACTCCGTGTTCCCGGGTTATGCAATAACGGGCAGCGTGTGCCCCCCGACCCCGCTGCTGCCACAGGGGGCACCGATCCCCCTCTCCATTCACAGCCTCCCGTGCCCCCCACGTGAAACGGGAAACCTGGAAAAAGCAGAAGTGTGGCTGTAATTAGGATTAATCTATTTTTAGCAGGCTGTCTGCTGCCCTGTCCACGCTCCAGCTGAGATGTTTAATTCTGTCCAGCTCGACTCTTTTCTGCAGTGGCACCCAGGACTGGCACAAAAATTTTCTTTGAATCCTTAGATTTGGGGGGTTTTTTTCCTGTTTTGCTTTGTGTGGATACGGTGGTTTTAAAAAAAGTCCTTTTTTTGCCCACGTGTAATAACTGGAAAATCCAGCACTGAAGTAATACAAAGATTGCTGTATTAAAAAAAAAAAAAAAAGTTATACAACGTTTACTATCATTATTATTCATTTTACTATGGAGTTTGGAAACCTCGTCATAGATCAGGAATGTGTTGTACCCTGGGCTGCACAAACAGCACAGAAGGAAAATTGCCTCTTCCAAGCTATATTGGATAAAAACACGCAGTGATACCAACAGGATTTGTGCTAAATGGCATCGGGACAAGATGTTAAAGACATCCCTGAGCACCTCGTCAGTCACTGACCCCGCATTTTAAATATCTGCTGCGCGGGTCTTTTAACCTTTTTGCGATGTATTTGCGAAGGGAACTTCGTGATTAGCACTTAGGGAAACACCCTGGAACACAGTTGGATCGACATCAATCGACTCCTCCGCCCCCCCGGGAATGTTTGGCTTTTGCAAATATTCCTGCCCGGTGCGAGAGTGGCAGGAGTGGCCCTGGGGAGACACGGCCCCGCATCCCCCGGGAAGGGGAGTGGGACCTTGAAGCACAGAACAGGGCAGTGGTCGAGTTTTCCTCGCCCCAGCCGTGCTCTCCCATGGGTGCTCCATGGCCTGGGGGTTGGGAAGATGCTTCCCCTTAGGGAAAAAGAGCTTCCCCCCAAAATCGCAGCCCGGGGGCACGTCCCGCTCCAGGCACGGGCAGGGTGTTGGTTCCTCCGCACCCCACCTGTCCCCCCGCCCGGGCGCTTGAGTGACTCATGAAGCTCCCGGGTGCTGAGCGTGGAGAAGGGCTATTTCCGTGCTCCCACTGCAATCCCTGCTCCTCCGGCTGCGCTGTCAGGCACCTCAGCACCCCCGCCGGCTCTATTCTTAGCAGCTAATAGCTGAAATAATTCCTTTTGTCTCAGCGCTCTTGGCTCCTTAAGGTTTGGAACTGAGTAAAAACCTGCGGCTCCGGGGAGCCTGAGCTGCTCTTGGGACCTCTCCCAGCGCTGGGAAGAGCGGCCGGGGGTCCGGGGAGCGTTGCTGTTCCAACCAGGAATGCTGAACGACAACGACCAGAGCAGAGCTGCGGGCTCAGGATCCCAAACAACTTGAACCTGGCTCCGACACAGCTCTGCTTTGAAGCAGCTCCTGCGTTAATGCAGTGCCATCTCTTTGAAAAGGATCCCGGCTTTTCCAGCTGGAAGTTTCTTAGACTTCACAGGGTAAATTCCAGGATTCCAGGTTTTCAAAGGGAGGGCCAGGTTTTCACCTGCAGGCTCCCATTTCAGAGCCTGCTTTACTGCGTGGGCTGGCTTTGCAGTGAGAATGCAAACGCTTTATGCAAATATGACTCCCCAATGCCAACACATCCACGACAGCTCTTGGGAAACAAACCCACACCTCTGGCTTCGCAGGCTTTTGATCTCAGCACCAGCTGTTCCATCCAATTCCCTTGAACCACCTCCCAGACAGGACTCTGAACCCCCCACCCCGCTCCCTGTGCCATGTCAGCCCTGCACACCCCAGCAGACGCACGGAATCAGCTTTAAAACTGTTTGAGAAGGGGTTTATTGATATTTATCTGCCTGCAGCTCTTCCTCCCGTTGGTTGGGACCCCAGTGAGAGCAACAGCGTGTTCCAAGTGGAACAGGCTGCCCAGAGAAGCTGTGGCTGCCCCACCCCTGGAAGTGTCCAAGGCCAGGTTGGACGGGGCTTGGAGCAACCTGGGACAGTGGGAGGTGTCCCTGCCCATGGCAGGGGGTGGGATGAGATGATCTTTAAGGTCCCTTCCACCCCAAACCATTCTGGGATTCTGTGATTTTATGTGTATGCACTGGGCTGGCAGAGAAAAGGACTCACTGGCCACACCTCTGGAATTCACTAACTGAATTTGTCTGGAAAACAATAAACCTTTCAGAAAAAAACTAAACGTTTGTTGTGACTCTGTAACTTTTCTCCTGTAGTCACAGTAGGAAAAACATTGTAAAATATCCCTTCATGGACTCTGGTTGCTGCGTTAGCAAATATTCCTATTTTGGAATTCCGAGCCTCCAGTTTCCTGGAAATCTGCATGTCCCGGTGGCTGTCAGGGTGGCACTAAAAGACCATGAACTGTCTGTTGTTCTCTATGCACACGTGAAAACAGAAGGAAGGCTTCAAACTTTTATTTCTGCTTTGCTTTGAAAACTGAAAGGAAGTGTCTCCTCGAAATAATTCCTTATCCATCTCCTCCCAAAGCCAGGCTGCTCCAGCAGCTTCTGTCTCACATGATGGTTATGTCTCACTAATTAACTGGGGGCCTTCTGGACAATAAGGACTATAATTAAGAGGCACAACTTGAATAAAATCTGGGAGCAAGGAACGCCCAAACCTCCCTATCAGCTTTGACTCTGATTCCACATACAATGTGGGTCAAATTATTTAACCTTTATTTTACTCAGCCTTCCCATATGCAAAATTTTATTGATTCTAATAAGAAAACACGAAAAACTTGCCTGTTTCCCTAAGCAACAACTAAAATTCCTTTATTTGTGGTCAATGCAGACAATTGTTTTGCTACAGCAAAGAGTTAATTTAAGGGTTTTTTTAAGGATGATTTTTTATGACAACAGTCAAAAGAAAAATTTAAAAATTGCCCACCCTCCAATTGGTGAGGTTTAGGGGAAATAGTCCTGGCAGGTGGGCTACATGTTCCTGTTTCTGAAGATATTCCCTGAATGGAGCTGGCTGGGAATTCTGTGCCGAGACAGATTTTTGTTGGAAACGGTCATTTCACTGAGGTGGTGAGTTGTTTGTAAGGCCAAAACTTACTTTGTTTGTAAGGACAAATCAAAGGTCTTGGAAAAGAGCTCCCCCACATCAACACTTGAGAAACGGACGACTTTGCATTTTAAAGCAACTTTTAGGACTCGGGGTTGGTAAAGGGAAGGAACTTTTGCATTCCCCTGCCCACCTCTGCCTGGTTCTTTGCTCCCTCCCTTTATCCCCAGCCGCTCCCCCGGGGGTGTGCCAAGACATCCCTTCCGTGGGTGCCGAGGTCGGGGGGTTACAGATTTACAGCTGCCCAGACTTGCTGCGTCTCGGGCAGGAATTTGTTTGGCATAATCAGGGCCTTTGGATTATTTATCTCAGCCTTTTAGTTAAACAGGAACATGCCCTGATTTTAACAATGTGTTTCCTGCAGTGGAGGAAGGTGTGGCCGATGGCATTTAAACCAAAAGCCGAGCCAAGGCTTCGCCAGCAGGAAGCTGGAAGTGCGGGCAGGACCACGAGGGTTTCCTTCATTGTTAAAAAAGACCGAGGGCCTTCCTCAGTGGATGGCCGAGGTTATTTTATCACCCACAAGAGCAGCAGTGATGTGCACGAGGGGGAGATGTCTGGAATGTCAGCCTCCATATGTTATTGCTATTAAGGTCATCGCAGCGTGACGGCGGAGAATCGCACGGGACACGCCGGAGAACTGAGGATGAACCTCTAGGTCCAGTTTGGCGCAGAAGCAGTGCAAGCCCACACTTCCTGTGCTCACTGAGGAATTGCTCCCTGATCCTTTCATGGTGCTGAGGAAAACTGTCAATGACAGCAGACTTTTGATGTCTGGGGGTTCCATCCTTCCCACTCTCCTCAAGATAAAATTTTCCCCCCCAACATCCAGCCTGAACTGCTCCACTTATAAGTTGTGAAATCTTGTTCCAGTGTCTACACTATAAAAAGTTTTTAAATTTTTTTAACCCATGGCCCAGCTGTGATCAGCTGTGAGCCCTCGTTTTGGAATGGATTCTTACACTGCCATTCACATGGAAATACTGATCTCTGCTTCCAACTTCCATTTACCAAGCTTGCTTTCTAGCCCAGGACTTTGTACCCTCATAGGCAGTTCTTACAAAACCAAAGCTCTGTTTCCTGCTTTTAGACTTCGGAGGGGGAAAAAAAAAAAAAAAGGGCAAAAAGAACCCCAAAACCAGTATAAAATACGTACATGGGCTCCACTTAGAAGAGCAGCCTAAATTTCTACTGTGGAATCATGGCCTCTATTTCTTTACAGAAAATGCCAAATTCTCACCAACAGCATCAGAACATGACTTTAATTATTTTAGGCCTCATTACTCACATCCAAGTGCTGAAGTTTCCCACTGTGCCAAGTCTTCTTAGTTACACACTTAGTTGTGCACAGGGCAGTGTGGCCTTGAGTCTTCTTGGGAGCCTGAGTGCCAGCAGAAGGTACTTAACAGTCAGGTAAACCTAGAAACATTCCAGGGTTGGTGATTTTTAAATGAAAGCAAACCATAAAATGCATACCAAAAAGCAACCGAAAAGAGATAATTTGAAATAAACCAAACCTTCATTTTACCTTCTTAATATACCACACCACTGACAAAACTGCTGTGAGCTAAAAGCACCAGTCAACTGTCCCATTCCTGAGGCTCCAAGTGCTTCACCTTGCTCATCCAGAGCTCCGTGGGGCTCGTGGCTCCAGCGAGGTGGTCCCCGTCTGCCTGCACCGAGCTGGAGCGGTGCAAACCCGGGGGGAAAACGGGGAACGTGGAAAATCCGCCCTGACCCTGCACGTTGGAGCTTCTGAGATAACTCAGGGGTAACTGAAACCAGCACAGGCAGCTTCCCATGGCAGCAAACACTGGCCTACTTCAGTGAGGGTGACTCATTTCAGGAGCCGGGCGCTCTCGCCGTCGTTAACCGAAGGAGTTAATCCTCGCAGCTTTGGCCACAAAGTGTATGTGCAAGGCTTGAACTCCCATGGGCTCGATTGCATAAGAAACCATGTATTGTGGCATTTAGTTGATCATGCACTACTTCTTCTGGTCACATGGAGGCTTGATTTCCCCTTGCATCAGCTCCAACAGACTTTTTTATATTTTTTGTACTGGTGTCTGGCTGTTCGGTTCACCAGGGTCATCCCCTTCACCCCACAGCGGAGCCTGTGCTGCTCTCCCAGGTCCCTGGCTCGCAGGATCCCGTTCCATTTTCTGCAGAATCATATCTGAGAAACCAGGAGCTTGTAATTCTTCTCATTTGTGTCTGTGCGTAACAGGTGTCATTTTCAGTGTAGTACAGACAAATCCCAAAATAGCTCAGGCTCTTCAGACGCTGCAAAGGGAAAAAATAGTGGTTATTTCAGCTTTGGTTGTAGTGAAAAACCCAACGCTCGCAGTCAGCTCTGAAGTCGGAATTAAAATGGCAGATGTAGGTGTGGAACAGGGATCTCTCCCTGGATTCTGTGTTTTCCAATGGACTTGCTGCCTGGCTCTTTTGTGTGCACAGGCCGACACATGAACTCCCTCACACGGTGCTGCCTCTCCATTAGCTCCTTTGATTCCCGGGAGCTGTACCTACCGTGGATCCTCCTCCACACTCTTCCAGTTTTGAGGCTACAAACCGGGAGAGCTCTGCCCCCCCCGCCTGGCGCTGAGCCCGACCGGAGGCACCGGAGTTAATGTGAGGGATCTGGGGGGCAGAGGCAAGGAGAGAGTGCTCAGCTGCAAGATGTTTCTTGCCTGGCGACGCCTGCTGTGCTGAAATACAGAGCTGCCTGTGGACTGTCTTTGTCGGGGATTATTGGATTCTGGTGACTCCAGGAACGCAGTTATTAGTTCCCCTGCCTACGCTGAGCGTTTTGAATCTGTGTGTGTGATAACACTTATTAATACCGCTCAGATTAAGAAGATTCTATAGCGTTATGGCACTTCCAGTACCTTATCTCACACCACGCATCTGCCCAGCAGCTGAACCACATTCAGATCAATGTCTTGTGGCCTGCAGAGCAGGGTCTTGTGGGGCCAGCAGTAGCCTCCTGCCCAGAAGACCTGTGTTTACTCACAGCAGCAGTTCCTTTTAAGCTGCCTTGTGCTTCGGGGTATCTGCCTGCTGAGGGTTTGCAGGACGTAGGCCTAAAATATTTTATTTTAGGAAGTCAAGCAATGGTTCCTGTCACCGAAACAGTTAATCAAAAAGCACTAACTCTCTACTGGAACGTGTGTGTGCGTGCGTGTGTGTGTGTGTGTTTTTGTTTTTTAGAGCCAAGAAGATTTGCTTTGGTTTTTTAAAGCAGAAACCACCACAAAGTTGGCTGTGGTTTCAGCTGCTCTCGCTCGAGATTTGTATTGCTGACTACCAATCCTAAAAGAGTTAACCTGGTAAGTATGACTCAGAAGCAGAGAAGGAGATGCGAGGCTGAGAGCCGTGGAGGCAGCACAGAAACAGAGGTGAGCAACAGAATAATTGCCAAAAAAAGGTGCAGAGTCCAGGAGCGACGCTCCCTCCGGTCTGCCTGGCCCTGGCACCGCTGGCACGGGCTCCCTGGAAAGCTGCAGTTCCGCTCTTATAACACAGGGAGCAGGCTGGAGAATTTAGAGCTGCGTCACAGAGCTCAGCGAGAGAGTGAGAGAGCAAGCTCCGTCGATAGGTCTACCAGCAACAGCCCTGCTGCAGCAAGAGGGGAGAGAGGCAGCAAGAGAGGCAGAGAGGGCTCCAGAAAGAGAAGTATCACCAACACCTCGGGCTGGGCTCCTGCCACCATCCCCTGCCATTTAGACGTCGTACTCGGGCTCGGTTGGCGTAGGAGGCTTCGCCCATTGACGATGCTGGAGACCCGGCGCGCTTAATCCCGCGGGGAGGGAGAGTGGGCAGACACCGAAAGGGTTAACGGAAAGGAAATTTCTGGAACCTTCTATTCTGCGGCGCTCCACAGCGAGCGGAGGGCTGAGGACTGCGCAGATGGTGCACGGGCACAGCTCTTCGGTCCGGTTCGCCTCTCTCACGTACGTACCCTTTGATCAGGATGGGGCTGGAGCTGCAGCCACAGATTTTATCTGTTTGCAGGGCGTCCCTCTCCCCCGGCGTCCCTAAGTTCGGGTCCCGAAGTGGCTGTGTTATTATTTTGGCTGGGTATGGTTGCTCTGTTCTGCGTCAGAGCTGTTTTCTCAATGGAACGATGGCACAGGTTGCACTAATGTCACTCCTGCCGGCATTGCTGTGCTGCAGAGGAGGGTAGTAGTCGTGGGGGAGAGATGACAACTTTGCAAAGACTGCTGTTTGCCTGGTTTGTTTGGGCTTTTTATTCTCCCCCGTCTCCCTGAGGGCTGGCATGCTGGCGAGGGTTTGGTGGAGGGGTTAACAGGCGCCCTGCGATTCCGAGCTCGGAGGTTTGTCACTGCGTAGTTCGGAAAGTGGCAAACGGTGACGCAGTGATCATTGCAGGGCATGTCGTCCAGTTTTTAAAAGCACTGGGGGGGACAGGTAGACGGTGCCTTCCAGACGCTTCCACACCAGCTGAAAGGGGTTAAAGATGAGTCGAGACGGGAAGCGAGCATTTAGGGATTAAATGTCATCATTTTGGCGTTGGAAAGTTGTTTACCTTGCTCTCTCGGTGTCTCCATGCTGGCAGGCGGCCAGCTCACATGTGATAGTCTTCCCTGTACTGCTGCATCATTAACTAAGTGCCGGAGCCGGCTCCCCATTGGCCGGGGAGGGCTCTGGGCCCGGAGCCGCCGCGCCATTGGCGGAGGAGGTGATGGCAGGTGAAAAGCCCTCCCGGATTGGCCGAGGGCTGGGTGTCAAACCCCGACGCTGATTTCACTTGCTTCAAAGTACCGGCAGCTGCCCGTGCCCTGCCTGCTCCCTGCCCACTGCCTGTCCCCTGCTCGCTGCCCACTCTGCCTGCTCCCTGCCCACCACTGCCTGCTCCCTGCCCACCACTGCCCGCTCCCTGCCCACCACTGCCTGCTCTGCCTGCTCCCTGCCCACTGCCTGCTCCCTGCTCACTGTCCACACTGCCTGCTCCCTGCTCACCACTTCCTGCGCCCTGCCTGCTGCTCCCTGCTTATCCCCTACTCACTGCCCTCTGCCTACCACTGCCTGCTGCCTGTCTGCTGCTCTCTGCCCACTACGCACTCCCTGCCCACCACTGCCTGCTCTCTGCTCCCTGCCTGCTCCCTGCTCCCTGCCTGCTCCCTGCCTGCCGCTCACTCCCTTCTCCCTGCCCACCACTCCCTGCCCGCTGCTCACTGCCCGCTCACTGCCCACCTCATATCCTGGGATTCCAGATGTCCCTCGGGCACAGGCAGACAGGAGCCGGTAACTCCTCGGGGCGGTGGGTGCCAGCCCTCACATCCAGGGGTGCTCCCTGAGGTGTCGTTCCGCCGTCCGGTCGCGACGATGACGTGTCAGAGCTGCAACCCACGGCGGAGGGGAAAGCGCTGGGCTTCAGGGCTTTTCTCCTTGCCTTCTTCTCCCTTATACGGCGGTTGAGTGTTAGCAGGACTGTAATGGCTTGGGGCAGGAATTGCACCTGGAAATTATGTCGTGGGAACAGTTAAAGAAGCGAAAATGACTCTTGCCCAAACTCGGCTTTCGTTTGCACAAGGGTGAGTTTGCCACAGGCTCGGTAACATCAGGGAGAGCCGAGGACTGCCCTCAGTGATGGGTCTGTAAAGGTTTGCAAAGGAAATGACAGCGTTAGAAATCAAGGACCCAAGGACTGGGAAGGACTGGGTAAGGATGAACGGGAGACTGAGGGCAGAGAGCAGCTCCAGAGAGAGGACGAGGAGATAAAGGGGAGAACATTTTTCCTCTTAACCATTTACAACACTATTTTTTCACCTCTCTTCTTAAAGTGACCAGCAATGAAGATGGCAGCTCTGCCTGGAAGTGCTGAGGACACAACCAGCCTTGAGCTTGGTCCTTCTGGCCGAGGAAGTCTCCCGATTATGCAGTGGAGTGGTAACTTTGCTTTCTCATATGGCAGGGAACATTATTCCACAGTTTTTCATCATCCCGAGGCTTAAACAAGTTTAAGGATGTGATAGCATAAGCGTTTAATCTATATTACTCACTCGTTGACATCTCAAGCGTCAGGGCTGGTTGTTTAGCAACAACCGCTGGGCTCAGAACCGGCTCAGACACAGCGCGCCCGCCGTCTCCATCACTTCAGCTGTAGCCTGTCCCCTGCACGGTGCTCTGAGGGAAAGAGAGAAGGGCTCTACTTGCACCATGCCCTCGCCCCGACTGAGTTTTGGGGGTTTGGTGGCGCAGGCCGCAGGCGCTGCGGTTTTCTCGTGGATTCCGTCCGTTTGCGCAGTTCCGCGGAGGGGAGGACGCCATTTCCAACGGCACTGCGGTGGCAGGAACGGGGAGGGAAGAACAGGGCAGGCAGTACGTGCCACTCCCCACTTTTCTTCCCTCTTTCCCATCAGCACCTTTCTTCCTTCCCCTCCTCTTCTGCCAGATTCCATAGGGAATTTCAGACTCTTGCTGCAGTCGTCACAACCCCTCCTGACTCACTGAGCCTTCGCTGGCTGTAGCTGGCTCCCTTGGAGCATCCTTGCCTCCTGCAGCGCCAGATCCGCAGAGCAGGGGAACAACAGGAATAGCAGCGACGACGGTGGTCCCTGCAGCGAGACAGACAGGCATAAATACACACACATGCAGGAACAGTCCGAGGCAGCTGTGGAGGGAATTCTGTACAGCCGGGAGCTGGACTAAGCCCCGATTGCTTGGTTGCATAGAAGACGGGTGGGTTGAGTCTCTTTTCCTGAGTGTTGGCTGCATGGACAACTCTTTGTGGTTTTCCCGTCACAGTTGTGGGGTGGAGGACCCCGTAATTTGTAAAGCTAGTGCTGCTTCATGACATTTCTCAGTGCTTTAAAGGAGGTGCCACTGGCAGCTGGTTCAGTGTTCAGTGCAGGGATGTATCTGATTTAATTCCCTTTGCCACCATCTTTTTGCCACAATTAGTTTAACTGAGAGTGAACACAGGGAGGGTAAGGAGACACAGATAAACGAGGAGTTATTTCAATGTTAAACTTCAGCTGTAAATCTCATTACTCAGGAATTGAGGTTACTGTCAGCAGGTAAATCTGTGGGACTGGCAAGAAACAAGGCTAAGAAGGGGACATGGCATATTTCTGTAGGACAGCAGCGACTGTGTGCACAGGGGTGGCACTGTCACTGCGAGCTGTACGTGGCTTAACTGTTCCATAATCATTTTCTGCATATTGCCTCAAAAGGACTCGGGAAAGCTGTGATTCCTTCCTCCCTCTGACACTTGCGCGTGTGCCATTGTGTAAGCTGGTTCGTTTTTCCGAGCCTGGGTTTCCTTGCTCTGGGCAGTGGGGTTTGCTCCGTGCCTCGGCCCTGGTGCAGCACTGACGCAGCGTTCGTTAACGCGCCGGCCCTCGCCGACAAAACACACGCGATTTTCTCGGGCGTTCTGACCGTTCCAAGGGCCGCAAAATTCGGGCGAGGAAGCTCAGGATTGCAAATGCTCACGGTATGAACTTAAAAGCATCACCATCCTATTCTTTTCTAGTGGAGGAAGGCTCTGTGAGTGACGAGACAGCCACGATCTCCCCCCTGCACTTGTTTTGCCGATGGTCATGTTACATCTGTGACGCAGACGAATTTTGCTGTTGGTTCCTGCCTGTGCTTTAGGGAGTCGGGCTGATGAGGGCACAAGCTTGAATATTGGTTAGAAACATTAATTTAGTATTGCTGTTACAGGTTCAAACCATACCTGAAGGGTCAGAGGTATTGGATCCACCTATTTCACAGCCCCAAATGGCGAAGGAATTCGGATGAACACAACAGCACCCCTGGCCATTTTGTAGCTCGCAGAGTAGACTCGGAGCCTGCAGCTCTGCTGCTGCTGCTGCTGCTGTTCATTTCCATGTTATACAAATACAGCGTTGGGCTCGGTGTCAGGAGCTTTCCTGATGCTGTGAGAAGCTTAAAGTCTACAAGCAAATGTTTTTCTTATTTGGGAAGATTAATTAAAATGACCAAATGCCAAGTATTCTACCCTCGCTCCTCTCACAAATCACATCCAGAAAATTCAGTGGTGCCGTGTATGTTTTTTAAAACTTAATCACGGGGTTTTCTTACAGTTTAATATGGGTGTGGCTGTGGGGGGAAGGTAAGATTTAATTTGGTAAATATCTGTAATGCTGATGTTAATGGACAAGTACGTAGGCAAGAGATAGTTGTCCAAATCCTCTATACATCTGCCTACAGATACAGACGGTCCCAAGCCCAGGTTGTGAAGATGCCCTCGTCACAAAAATGAGAAGGGACCACTCTGGCCCATTCTCACCCACCCAAACGTTTCAGTGCAAAGGCAGCAGCAGGAAAGGCCAAGTTGGAATCTCAATCTCACAAAATGGTTCCACCAGCACTCAGAGATGCCAGCGCCGTTTATACTGGCACGGCTCCGAGAGCGGCACGGCGAGCTGCCTGCTGCAAGGTCATTCCCCTGACTCATGGTCAGCAACCAGTTGGTTCAGGAACTCCCAATCCACTTTTCTTGCATCTGTGGCAGTGCTTGAATCCTGAACTTGAAGGGGAGGCTTGATAATTAGCATTACTGCAGTACTGGACTACTGACTCCAAAACTGTAGCTCCAAAAAAATCCCGTGTCTCTGAAGCATTTTAAAATCCATATCTGTAATTTGCTTCTTGTGCTAACTGCAAAAACTTTGCATTAGTTCCCTCATCCGCTTTTCCTCCAAGACTTCAAAAACTTTGCACTAGTTCCCTCATCCCCTTTTCCCCCAAGACTTCCTCTGGACTGCTGGGAATCAGCAGTGGCGCGTGTTTAAGGAGATACATTCTGTTCCAGAAAAAAAAAGTGTCTGTGGATATTTGCATTTCTGTGCTCGTTAGCAGGTGGACTCTGCAGGCTCTCTTAAGTTCCCCAGCGTCTGCCAAGCCAGTGGTGTCTCTCTGGTGCTTTCAGGTTCAGGTGCCTCAGCTCAGGAGCTGTCTTGTCCCCTCCCAGGTTTCCACATTTTTCTCCAGTGTTCCTATTTCTCCACTGTTTGTCACTCGTATTTTCAGTGGACTCAGGACATCATCAGCTGTGGATATGCTTAGGGCTGGCTCTACTTGTCTCAGCTTCACAGGCAGCAGTGGAGTGGTTAATGCCTCTGAGCAAAATAACTTATTCAGTCCCCAAAGTTCAATTTAGGGGCACGTTAGCTGGCTCCTTTTGAACAGAGGGAGCAGAGCAAGCCAAGCAGGGACATGACCAGACCCTTCCTGCTCCCAGTGTTGTCAACCCACCTCTCCAGGCCCCCAGCCCTGGGCAGCCTCCTTACAATCAGCCTTAGCCTTCTGCATCATTATTCCCTGGTTTCCAAAGGTAAAAACCTGGCTGCTAATCCTGATGCCAGTGACGACTCTGCGCCTACAGGGAGGCATATGTGATGGCTTGTCTGCTAAAAACTGAGCCAACACAGTGTGATTCAGCCCTCCAGCTTTCCAAGGAATAGAGCTATTTCTGAGTTGAGCACATCTCTTCAGCTCCCCACACAAACACTCATGGTGGTGCACAGAAGTCCAGCAGCAGCCACAGGGTTTGGATTTGGCTGTAGAGCTCAAATGTTTCTTAAATATTCTCAAACATAACAGTGAAATTTAAGTGATGGAGTGCTGGAAATCCTGGGAACAGGTACAAACCAGCAGCTCGGGGGAGTCAGTCAGGGGTTTGGTCAATGCTTTTCTCTGGATGTTTTGCCAGGTCCTTTTACTGCAGATCGTGTTAAACTAAAGGCTTGTCTTCAAATATCTGGTTTAAAGGCAGGTTATACTTCAGTGAACATCTGGCAGTATTTGTCTCCTTATGCTCCTCACTGGGCATAGGACATTCTTTTGTTTCTTGAACGACACAAAAGAAAAATATGACTTCCCTTGACATTACCTAAAGGAGCTGGAATGGTGGCCTCAGGGGAACACCATGTTCCTGAACTGACTATACAAATCACAGCAATCATCTCCCTGTGACTGCTCTCAAGCCCTGCAATCAATACTTTATATTCTAAGGTGATGCTTAGGTACAGAAGTTCGGAATAGAAAATGGCTTTTCTGGTTTCAGCTCCTTAGGAGGATCATTTCTTTGACTGTAGTTAGTTTTGCAATGTGCTGCTCAGTCAAGCTGTGCAGGGCTAAATTTGATGAGTTTTCATGGCTGTACTTCCCTACTGCTCTTCCCTGACCTCAGCCACGTAAGGGCAATGCTCTTCCTCCCCTGTGTGAGTTTGCCTGGTTTTACCTCATTGTTCCTTGGGAAATCTGAAATCCTACCCAGGATCCAGAGGTTCAGCAGCTCCTGTGCCCTCCAAACAGGCTGTGGGGTTTCCCTAGGAAAGGTGGAGCAAAACTATGACTCCAGAAAAGTCAAAGCCATTTCAGATGAGCAGAGGGGAATCACGAGATTAGGAACTGCAGCACTAATATCTAAGCACACCCAGAATGATCACCATGCTAAAATTGCTCCCTCCAGTTCAGAACAGCTCTGGGACAAGCAATAGCAAATAAATACTACATATAGTTAAGAGTCTGAACCAAAGGTCTGGGATTTAAAAACACAACAGGTCTTGTGAATAAATCCTCATTATTTTAGTGATGTTGCTCTGCTATGAGCCATCTTCAAGTTTCTCCAAAAGATCTGTAATCTAAAAATTGAAGGTCTCTTGCACTGTTTTTTAGCCTCCTTTTTAGACCCAAGCACCACAGAAAGTGTGGATCAGCAGGGCAGAACCATAAAATGAAGGCTGGTGTGGTCCATCACACCACCCAGAGTGCCTGGGTCAGTGTGTTCAATTATCTCACCCCCAAATGAGGTTTGCTGCATCCAACCCCCTAATTCCTGTCTGTCAATGCCAACTGCCAGACGTGGCTCAGCATTGGAAAATCTTGGTTGGCACCAAACCCATGCTGGGAATGAGCTCTATCACCTCAGTCAGAGCAGCAAGAGTTAACCTCACACCAGTGGGCCTTCAGGGCTAAGCTGCACCTCTCAGACCTCATCACATCCAAATTTCAGCCATCACAGACACTCCTCACCACCTGACCTGCCTGAAATTATCCAGAAAAGCCAACAAGCAAAGAAAAATCTTCACCCCAAACCCATGAACCGTTTTAAAAAGAGGGATCAGAAGGGTGGGCAGCTTTCTGACAGTTCAGCACAGACAAATGCTGGTGAGTGCTCTGACAGATTCCCCTCAATAGGAATTGAAATTAAGTGACTCAAATGTCAAGCAGGCCCGACTGTCCCATTGCTCAGGGTTAAATGGGACACAAGGCTCCACAGGCTTTTACCCCCAGCATGTCCCAGTCCAGTGTTCAGCTTGCCTTGGGGTTTTGGAGGGGTTTGCAGACCCAAAGTGTCTGGCTTTTAAATCTATTTACACTACAGTTGTAAGGCTGCAATAGTAGGACTAAAGGAATAGGCTATGTTCAACTCATGACTGTAATGCAGAGCTTTTATTGTGGTCCTAATTAAGGAAAAATAATCTCCATTATGCTTTAAACTCACAACAGAAGTACATGTTTTTGCTGCCCACACCAGCAGCAGCGTCTCCAGAGGAATTTCTAGTCAGGAGCATCACTGCCTTTCCTGAGCCCAGCTCAGTGCTGGGGACCCACAGGGAGTTACACACTTAGGCCTGGCTCAGACTGCAAGTTCAGGCACATCTGTCCATACCTGACCCACGCAGCAGCAACACAGTACCAGACCTGCACAACAAACAGATGCAGTTACACGCTCCCCCGGGCTCAGGAAGCTTTTTTGAAACCTTAGAAGTTCACTCATTTCAATTCCCCTTACAGGTCACCACTTGTACTGTCACACCCCTCTGTCCTGCACCTGGCCTTGGGCTGACTCATTCCTTCACTGGGAGGATGATGCATCAAGCTCAGACTTTCTCCATGTGAAACAGGAATATTTCTCTCCAGGGGAGACCAGAGTCTGATGAACCACAAGTTTCACCCCGTGATTTGAAAAAGGGGAGGAAAAAATTTATGGTGCACACGGGGTCATGCAGAGATTGGTTTTGCTCACTGTAAAAGACCAGAAACGCCTTTATCTAAAAGGTGTAGGTTGTGAAAAATCAAGTCAGTGACATCCAGGCTTGCCTTGTTCCTGCAGACTAAAGGTCTTAGGCTAGAAAAGAAGTTCCCTTTCACGGGGAAGGCAGGGATTCCCTTTCTGCCATTGTGTCCTATAGATGTGTAAAACAGTGTGAAATCCATGAAAGGCTTTGAGATATTCCTCTGAAAGAACAGCCCTGCTACCAAAACATCTGAAAAGGAGGGAAAACCCAGAGTCATAGTATTGTACTTTTCCTACTATCATTAATTGAAAACCCCAGACCACTTTGACAAAGTCAACTGACAGTACTGGCTTGTCTCCACACGTGTGTCCATATGTACAACACACCCAGCAAATGTCTGAGACAAGTCCTGGTTTATTTTCTTCCCTGGGAGGGTGGGGAGGCCCTGGCACAGGTTGTCCAGAGAAGCTGTGGCTGCCCCATCCCTGCAAGTGTCCAAGGCCAGGTTGGACAGGGTTTGGAGCAACCTGAGCTAGTGGAAGGTGTCCCTGCCCATGGCAGGGGATGGAACGAGATGAGCTTTAAAGTCCCTTCCAAGCAAAGCATCCTGTGATTCCATCTCCCTGCACATGCACATATTCCCAGTCAGGTGCTGTGTATCACAGCATCCTGAACTGCTCTTTTTCTCCTCCTCTCTGCCTGCTGCCTGCCCAAACATGCTGTTAGCTTTGGAAGGAGAACACACACAGATGTACCCTTTCCAAAATGTGTACCTGCACCTTGGCAAAATGGGCTGACACCTTCTGGGGAGCTCGTTAAGGCAACAGGAGAAACTTCAGGTAGCCTGGAGGAAGGCCAGCAGCATCTTAATTATGCTGAACTGAAACCTGGTTTTATCAAAACTGTAAATAATAAATGAGCTATTGGTCTTTAACTGCTGCATGGTATTTCTGGAAAGGTTAGTCTCCTTTGGAGAGGGGAAGGTGGGCATAGGTGTTCAGTCCCTGTAAGTCTCATAATTTGACAGAAGCTCCTGTTTTCAGCAGCACAAAACTAAGTGACATTTCCTCCAACTATTTTTGAAAACCCTGGTAAAGATTTCTTTTTAATGCTTACTACTGAGACAGGATAAAAATCAAAGCAAACCTCACATTGAACCTGTTTCTCAAAGATGCTGCAGTGACTGTGTGATCTGTGCTGCAACCTTTCAGCAGCAGCAACTCTTGGTCCAGCTTTTCAGGAGTAAATCTCACCTGATAATAGAGGGTGCCTCATAAATAACTGTGCCAGCACGACAGACACTGGGGAGGGAACCTGCTTTCCACTTGTCTTTCACCCTGCTGCCCCAGATAATGGATTTAGAAACTACAGCAAATATCCAGACACAGTAATCTAGTACAGCTCTTTCCCCTTCCTCCACCCCTCTTTCTTGGAAGGACATCTCCTTTCTCTGAGCCTTTCCTCTGCTGCCTGTGAGTGTGCATTAGGATGGAGGCACAGGAGCAGATTTTTGGGATGTGGTTACAAAATTAATACAAGGTGTTGCCAAAACCTCAGAGCATCCATGAGTGAAACACTCAACTCCAGTTCTGCCATGCTCGATTCCATTTTCCATCAGCTTCTGCACCAGCACAGGTCACACGTGGTGGCCGGGGTTTGGCAGCTCCTGAGTTATGCACGTGTGTGGTTCACAGGCTTTGGGACACTCCATCCATTCCCTCTGCACTGAGACATGGACACCACTGCTCAGACCTATTCCAGCTCCAGGAACCATCAGCCACTCATTTGCAGACCCTCCTCCTTCCTCACAACTTTCACTGAACCATTTACAGTCAGATTTACCAACGCTCCTTTTTTGTTCTGACCCACACTCAAAGCAGTTTCAATCCCACTTATTTTCACTGTCCCTGCAGAATTCAACAGTTGTCTCAGAAAAATCTGCCAAGCTCTTGCTTATTTAAAGAACTCAGAGGCCACATGAGACATCTGACAGAGGAAGTTCCATCAGGACAGTCCCATTTCCTTTCCTTGTCACAAAAAGCATCTGATGTGCCCTTGTCCTCTCTGATGATGCTGAGATCAGTAAGTGATAGAAAGTGGACAGAATGAGGTTTATAGCCTGGTTTTCATCTGCAATGGCATGGAAAAAGTGTTTCTGTAACAACAAAAACTTCCCCCCCACACCCCATCACTACAAAGAAATGAAACCTGTACTACTATTGCTGGCAAGAATTTCACTGCATTCCACCTGGCTAGGAAAGGAAACAACAGTCACTTGCCAGGCTGGGGGGTTTCTTCATCACCTTTAACTTCTCCTACACCAGCCTCAGCCATTCACAAGATACCAAATAAATATGTGTCCATAACAAAATTAACCCAAAGTTAACCACCTTGCTGTCTAATCAAATTAAATAAATGAATTTTTCTCTAGGTACGGTGGAGATGAAGGATTTTCTCCCTCAGCCTGCAGCCATGCACAAGATGTGTCTTCCTCTGGAAGCTGGTTTCACATGGTGGCTTAGATTTTCCCACTTTGTATCTAGCACCATTTGAAATCAGTGTTCTAGGAGCAAGAATTACAGCGTGGGAAGAGATCAAGCAGCTGCTCACTTCACCAACAGCCTCTGCTCCTTAAACCAGCCCTCTCTCCAAAGGTTATTTTTTTGCCAGCCATCCACTCTGTAACATCATCTGACTTCTAGACACTTCTACAACCCCTGTACACCCTCCCAAGCCAGGGCCACAACAGAACAGCCTCCTTCTAATGTACTTCTACTCAATAAACAATGGATATGAGTTCAAGTTGTCCAGAGTAGAGTGATCTGGAAATTGCATGAAAACCAACGTGGTACTTCTTGCATCTCGACAGGCAGAGTACATTTATTATACAATCTCTAGCAATAACATTTAATTCGCTACCTTAGAGCAAATGCATTTCCACTCTGTGCTTGGGGACTCTACCTCCATAGAATTCTCATTCCACAGCTCCCAGAGACTTGCTCTGCACACACAGAAATTCCCCCCAACAACATAAACACAGAAGTGCCTTCAGCAACCACAGAATCACAGACTGGTTTGGGTTGGAAGGGACCTTAAAGATCACCTTGTTCCAACCCCTGCTATGGCATCCTGGTCATGTCACACACAGAACCCACTCCTTCTGCCAGAATTATTTTTAAATACGTTGCTGGTAACTTCCAGTGATGTTTCACTTCTCCACCCCTTCATCCCAACCACCAGAACAAAGCTGAACTATCTTTGCTGTCCAACATGTCATTACACCCAGAAAAGACGATCGCTGTGTG